TCCGTTGAAAGCTTTGACGTTGATGGCCCCATCTTGATTTCATGCAGCCCTTTTCCTAATGTTCTGAGTGTTACCAGAGGACAAATATTGAGACTGGACCCCCCATCGACCAGGATTCGGGTGATAAAATAATCTTCGCACTGCACAGTGATGTGCAATGCCTTGTTATGACTCAATCCTTCCGGTGGCAGCTCATCCTCGTGAAAGGTGATTTTATGACTCTCCAACACTTGGCCCACCATGTTCGCCATTTCTCCTCCAGTGATGTTCCTTGGTACATACGCTTCACTCAACACCTTCAACAAGGCATTCTTGTGTGCATCAGAACTTTGTAATAAAGCCAAGATAGAAATTTGTGCCGGTGTTTTGTTCAGCTGGTCAATGACCGAGTATTCCTTGGATTGTATCTTTCTCCAGAGATCACTGGGTCTAGTTTCAATGATGGCTTGTCGGCCAGAGGTCTGCTTACTCGACTCAGCTAAGTGTTCTGGGGTATAAACCCTGCCGGTTCTTGTCATACCCTGCGCTACAACTGTTTCTCCGAACTTGGCTTTTCCTTTCCTTCTTGCCTCGGCTGTGTAGTCCCACGGTAAAGCTTTTGTGTGGAACGGTCTTACGGCTGTCATTGGTACTGGAATAGGCACCCTTGCCTTGGAAGGTAATACAACAACTTTAAAGGGCTCAGGGGCCTTTGGGGACCCAAACTCGACCTCGATTGGTGTGGGCGTCTTTGCGGAGGCTGGTGCTTCAAACTCAAGCGATATGGACATGTTCACCTCAGCATCTTCAGAAGGCTGAATTTGGACTACAATCGGGTTAAGAGTGACCCTTGGTTTCTTTGGATCGTCACCTTCCGTGATCAAACCGATTGATCTTTTGGGATCCCAATCATCTTCTATTTCAATCACATGAACACTTCCACCCTTGTGGTCTGGTAGAGGGTTGCTGCGGACGTTCGGAGCAGGCTCCTTTGCCACGATAATCTTGTTATCAATTAAAGCCTGGATCTTGTCCTTCAGGGAGCGGCACTCATCAATAGTGTGTCCCTTCATGCCAGAATGGTATGTACAGGTTTTGTTTGGGTTAATCCACTGGGAGGGGTTTTCAGGAGTTATGGCAGGGACAGGGGCGACATAACCAGCGGCTTTGAGTCTTTCGTACAACTGGTCGATTGGCTCGGCAATGGCGGTGTATTGTTTGGGAGGTCTGCGGTCAAAATTTGGTCGGGGTCTGGGAAAGTTTTGGCGAGTAGGAGGTGATTGATAGTGGGATGGTTGAGTGTTGTAGGCTTGGTAGAATTGTGCGGGTTGGGAATAGTTGGGTGAAGTGGGTTGGTATGTGGGAGATGGAGGTGATTGATAGGTAGGTGGTGGAGCTTGGTAGGAAGGTGCGGGGTAATTAGAGGTAGGTTGATATGTAACAGGGGGTATTGGGTAGGTTTGGTATTTGATTGGGGATTTTGTTCTCTGTGCAACCATCACGGCACTCACATCCCTTTTCCTGGACGTGCCACCAGACTGTAGAGCCTTGTTGGTAGCCTGTAATGCTTCAAAGTTAGTGACCATACCACTTTTAATACCTTCCTCGATCCTCTCCCCTAGCTTGATGATGTCGGAGAATTTCTGGCCTTCAACCAGCATCAACCTTTCGTAGTACTGTGGGTCTTGAGCCCGGACGAAAAACCTGTTCATTTGTTCTTCTTCTAATGCCGGCCTGACCTTAGCAGCTTCTGATCTCCAACGAGTAGCATACTCGCGGAATGTCTCCGTAGGTTTCTTTTTCAAGTTCTGGATGTAGAACACATCTGGCGCATTCTCCGTGTTGAATCTGAACTGTCCATGGAATCGGACGCCATACTCGCCCAGTTTGACCACTTCTTCGGGTCTTGGCTAATGTACCAAGACAGTGCATCCCCTTTCAGACTTCTCATAAAGAGCTTCATGCGAACCTTTTCATCCTTTCCTACTCCGACCAGGTTGTCGCAGTATGTCCTTAAATGAACTCTGGGATCCCCGGTGCCATCGAACATTTCGAACTTGGGAGGCTTGTACCCCTCGGGCAGTTCGACATCTGGTTGAATGCAAAGGTCTTCGTAATTCAGTCCCTCGATCCCCTTGTTTCCTTCAACACCCTGAACTCGGCTAGTCAGCTTCTTGAGTTCTGCGGCCAGATTCTTGATAAGAGAGTCTTTGTCATCAGACTCAGGTGCGCTTGAGGCAGGCTGAATGGGGTGCGGCATGGTTTCCACATAGATGGGGGTGTTATGGTGATGATCATTTGTGGAGTTCAGTGGTTCGGGGATGAGCAGTGGGGTGTTGCTTGAAGTGTGGCATGTGTTGCAGTGGTGATGGGGAGTGGGTTGGTCTTGTGGCTTCGGGATGTTTTGAGGAGGTATGGGATTTTGAGTGTTGGGGAAGCTGATATCCGGGGTAGTGAGGGAAAATGACAAGCTTGCCAAGTTCCGAACTTGGTCCAATTCTTCCTGAAATCTTAATAACTTCTGTTCGAGCTGGGAGGCACTTTCCTTGGCAACCTGAATACCCTGAGAAGTCTCTACTCTTTCAACTGATCTCTCCTTTCTGATGTTGCTCAAATCTTCCATCTTTCCTTTATTCTTGTTTCTGATAGGACTCGGAGGAGGAGGAGGTAGAGGACCCTTGGATCTTGTGGAATATGATGACGATGCCAGAGTGCACGAACTAACCTTTGGGGAGGGGAATAAGCAAAAGTAAAAACAAAAGGTAACAAGTTAGTAGGGATCGTGAGAAGAAAACGTTGCAATATTTAAACACATAGTGTAAGAATATAAATCGTGTCCTAAATTGGGAGCCTCGTTGTGCCCGAGGTAGGCCTAGAGACAAGTAAATTTGGAGAACTTAGAATGCTAAATGCCTCATTTTATTGATAAAAAATAAGACGAATCCCAAAACGACCCTAAATAACAGGAAATAAAATGTCACTAGTGGCCATAGACCCTATTACATTTGTAAAGCAAAAATAAACTCCTATCTACTTGGTCCCAGAAGGACCTTCCCCAGACTCGGCATTGTTGGCTCCCTCGTACAGTTCTCCCAGCTCGCGCAATCCTAGCAACAAGTAGGCCCTCGCCAGATGTCCGCCTTCATTTCCTTCAGCAACCCAGCAATCTTCAATCCTCTTCAGGAACTTCTTTTCTAGCTCCACTATGCCCCGCTCCAAACAGATCAGTCGTTTGTTGGCGCTGACAGCCATATCTTTCCATTCTCCAATTAGCTTTTGATTGGCTTCTTGTATTTCGCGGTGCTCATTTTCACATTACTTAATCTGTACTTCAGCCTTTTCGTCATGACCCTGTGACCTCGAACAAACCCGGGTTTTCCTAACCCACTACGATCGTCCTCCAACCAACTTGGATAGTATGGAGTATAACCAGCGTGGTACCTGTCTGGTTCTATGGAATCCTTTCCCAGGATGATTTTGCAGTGCCACATATGCTGAGCTTAACACTTGTACGGACTATCGTCAGCCTGGAAGTCAGCCCGGAAATGACTCATCTTGTCGACCCTTGGTATAACCTGCTTCCTGCCTTCCTGTCTCATGACCTGGATAGGGACATATGGGTAGGTCCCTCTTAAACCGATCGGTATCAGAAATGGAGTATCCCTAGACCGTATGATGAATTCTTCAGTAGGGAACCACTCAAACATCCATTGCACCCGGTCTTCAGTAAGATTGTCGAAGAGCTCGACCCACTCTCTAGCATTCTCTGGTTGGGCGAACATGTTGGGCATATAATTCATCCGCTTCGGGTGATGAAAAGCGATATGATCATCCCAGTCTCTACGATGGATTTCCTGCCGGTACTCACCCCTTTGGAGGTGCTCCATGAGCCATAATTGGAGTAGTAAATTACATCCCTCGAAATGTTTGGCCCCTTGTTGACATCTTTCTAGGGCTCGGTATATTTTTGCAACTATCATTGGCACAAGGCTGAATAACTGCCCGTTAATTCCTTCCATCAAGGTCTTGGTGACCATGGCCAGTCTGGTATGGATTCTTGCTTTCTTTGTCGGAAAAACTATCATCCCCAAAAAACAGAACATAAACACAAATACCCTTCGGTGGATGTGCCCCAATGAGGTGATGGCGAACTCGTCCGGATAGGTAGGGTATGATTTGCTATGGCCGTACCTTTCATACAAATGGTCAAAGGGAATGTAAAACTTCTCCAAACATGTCAAGTCGGGATTCTTCTTTAGACCCATCATCTTAAGAAAACCCCTACCTTTACGATTTTCCGGCATTAGCAAACCCGGAGTTTCCCATGGTATCCCAGCCAGTCCTCCTATCTCCTCAAGCAAAGGTGTCATCTCAATGTCTCCGAAGCGGAATACCGACCTATCACAATCCCAAAACAGAGTTGCAGCTGTGAGCATCTAATTTTTTACCATACTTGGAATTTTTCATCACTTTATAGTATGTAAATAAATTTTAAGTTAATCTACATCTTTTAGCACTTATTTTACCTTTTTTTTTTACTTAAAAGAAAAAATTTAAAAATCACAAAAAAAAAAGAGAGTCACATTTGTAGTACATGTTTTATCTTCATTTGCAAAGAAAGAAAACGTTTCCTAAAAAATATTTTTGTCTAGTTTAGCTTAATTTCTAGAGTTAGAGGTCGTGATAAATAGATGGTGCATAATTAGTAATTTTAACATTATCATTCAAACTAAAAATAAAAAAAAAAGTAGAAGAAAAGAAAAGCAAGAGTTGCCACGTTACCCGAAAGAGATACCAAGGAAGACATCATTTTTTGACACCATGGGCATATTCGCGTTCTGGACAATTTTGCATTTATGGTTTTTTTTAGTTTTCTTCTTTCTTTCTTTTTTTTTTTCTAATTTTTATTTCATTAGATGCTTCTTGTTCCCCAAGGTTTAAAAGTACACATGCACTAATTCTATTGGTGGAATTCCACTCACACAAACACAATCACGTGATCACACACCTGCACACTCACATTTTATTCCTTCACACTAATTTCATAACAGATTTATTCCCCCACAGCCCACTCATTTTTTTTGGGAGATTTCTTGGGGAGCACACTCAAAATACCTATATAAACATCTACTACACACACACAAAAGGGCGGATAATAACAAACGGGGCTGGTAGATCAAAAACAAAAACAGAGCACCACAAAGGGGGAACGAAAAAACAAAGAAAATGTCCTTTGCTCCTCCATTTTAGAGCCTTCTTCCTCCATGAAAACACCAATATCCACCTCCAAAGCTGCTGCAAAAAATACAGCAACTCTCCTCCTCAAACCAGCCCAACCAGACGCGGCAAAAACGAGCCGAAAATCCAGCGAAACAGTCTCTTTCGCACAGAACACTGCAATCCCAAGGTTGAGTCGTCGAGGTTGTCCGTTCGAGTTCGTCGGCGAATTTGAGCTTCTCCGGCGAAGTTGCCGTTTGAGGTTTCCGGTAACTGGTTTTGTTTGTTGTCGCCGGTCCGGGACATGCTTTTGGTTAGTTTTCTTGCCCTTTTGTTGTTCTTCTCAGAAGTTCTGTTCTCCATGTTTAATGAGCCGTTTGGTTAAGTTTTCTTGTTTGAATTAGTTATTTTATTTGCATCAATTTTTACTTTATATATCATAAGTCAATGGCTTATTTGTTATATTTCATCTTGTTTTGATAATTTTATTAATTTATTTATTTCTTTGCCTAATTTGTGCTTATTATGTGGAATATATCAAGTTCATTCTCATGTCTATTGTGTCAATGCCTTCATGCTTAACTGTTTTGGTATTTTACACTATTTCTCTTATGATTGTATGTTTGAGATTGATTTATTAACTAATGAGCCATTAATCTTTGTTTAAAGTGGATGAATTTCATTTTTGTTGTATTTGACTTTCACAATGTCTTGTTATTTTGGGCTAATAGAGGGGACCTTGGTTTGAAATGGCTCCTGTTTGAATTAATTGGGCCGAAAGAGAAATTGTTAGGCCCGATAACTTTAATATATGATTAAATAAACTAGCCCACCTTTCCATAGCTAATTTATTTTATTTCTTCCATAATGCTTTCCATAACTCTTAAGCCTTCGCAATAATATCAAATTTAGGAAAATAATTGTGAATATCCGTAGTTTGCTTTCGTTGAGTACAATCTTTAGAAATCGAGGCATGCTATTTAGTCGAACTTTCATGGCCCTCGCAAATTTGAAATGCGTAGTTGCTTTAGGCGCGCTATTTAAAAATTACTTTCCTAAACTCGGGTGTGCATTTCATGCGACCCAAATCCAAATCCCAAAACGTCGAATAAGAATGTGTCGAGGATCCGGGTGCATTTCATGTGACGTGATCCGAAAACACGTTCTTAAACGACATTCACTTTCTTAATAATTGACTAAAAGCGGTAAGTAATTCTAAAATCACACTATAGGTTTAACATGTATTAAAATCAGATTTTAGCCAAAGTTAGCAGTTGGCGGACCAATGATAGCGGAGGGCAAATGAAAAAATGAAAAAAAAAGAAAAACAATGAAAAAAAAGAAAGAAAAAAAAAGAAAAAAAGAAAAAGAAAAAAGAGAGGGTGAGGTGTGAAAATAAAGCAAGTAGGGCCCAGTTTTGTTTTGTTACATTTTTTTTTATTAAGAAAAAGACCAAAAAAGAAAAAACATGAAAAATCCAAAAGATTTTGCATTTTTATCATTTTACAAAAAATCAAAAATCAAAAAAAAGAGGAAAAAGAAAATCCAAAAAGAGTTTGCATGTTTCATCATTTGCAAGGAAAAGACGAAAAAATATGTTTTCTCTAAATTAGTTATTTTTTTTAATTCTCAACCGTATCCAATCTGCCCGAACTACGCATACCTGATTCTCGTCTTTCGGGGCGTGATACGTAGGCAACCCACATAGGGTCCGGTCTTCCTAGTAAATCTTAGGTTCTTGGCTTTGCGGGGTCTTAGCCAAATTTTGCACTTCTAGCCACCTTTTGGCTAAATAAGTCATTTCGCAAAAATAATCGCAACCATGTCTTGCATGTGTCTAATAGGGAATGTTGTTGCCTCACATAGTGTTGGTTTAAGTTTTCTCATACAGGTGTGAATTTACTAACCGGAGTTTGAGCAGGACAGATACCCCAGGACCGCTGCATTCAGGAGTTGCTTAAGGAGATTTACTCTTATTTTTATTTTTAGTTATTTTTGGGTATTTTTTTTATATCGTCTTTTACTTTCTATGTTTTGTACAGAGATGTCAAGTTTTTGTCATTGTACTTTTTATTTTATATTTGACAAGGTGTGGTGTAATTCAAAAATCCAAAAAAAA